CTTTAAAAGGATAAAAAATCTCAAACAAATCTCAATAATTTTTCACTATTCCTACTTCGTTTAAGAAATTCAAGGAATTAAAATGTATCAAGATGAGTCATATTGGCTTACTCTTGAGATTTTAACAGTGAGGGACGAAAAGGTATTTTAAACGACTAGTATGTATATGAACCAAATCTAAGGGTATTTGTAAGAAGTCAAGTACTCAGTCATTACTCATCCCATATCCTTATCTTCTTGTTAAATTAATATTAAGCAAATATATCCAAGCACGCTAGTTATGAAAAATGTCCCTTATATCTGGTTCACTGATATTTAAAGCTCGTTTTAAAATGTGTAATGCCCATTAATTGTTACAAATAAGTACCCTAATTTATTTTAGTATATAAGATAACAAAGTATGTTTCCTGCATTCATTTGACTTATTACTTACTGGATTCGTTTGTACAACGCTTTAGTCAAATTATTACTTATATTATCAAAATTATTATAAATCTTGCATACTTACTCCTTACATATTCTTATATAATTTAAAACAGATGACCAATATTATGTTTATTTTCAGAGATTCACAATAATGATGACGATGAAAACAGGAAGGGGTATAAATAATTTTTTATTCAATTGTTATTATTTCCTTACGACAAACCTGTTTAACATTACTTACAAGTCACTTTTGATTAGCCGTCTGCGTTTGATAGAGAGAGGAACTTGGACGATGGAGGTGAGCGTTTACCGCGTTTTAGATACGAGCTCCTTAAACCTACACCTGGGTCGCAAGTCTCAGTCACTGTTGAAGCTTCTCCCTGCAACGATGGACCCGGCACCCGCACAGCGAATCCATTGGATGCTGAGAGGCTTCGTCTCTATACTTACATATACTTAACTGGAGGCATCCAAAAAAATGTGAGGAAAATGTAAATAAATTCAAAATAAACCATTTTATAATCGTATAATAGAAATAACACCTTTTATAAAAGTTTTACAAGTATAAAAAAATTATTTAAAAAAATATAATAATAACTAGAATGTATATTGCACAAAAAGCAGTTGTATTAAAGTTTAACAAATTTAATATATTTTTTATAAACAAATTTTAACAATACATATTAGTGATGTAACGAATGTTGGATTTTTCACATTCGCGAATGCGAATGCGAATGCGAATATTCATCTTCAATATTCGCGAATGCGAATGCGAATGCGAATGTTAAATTTCAAATAAAGCGCGCGCAAAATGTTTGACATTTCGTGTCGGCCATGTTTAAATTGAACATAGCCGAGCCGATACAGGTTGAATGAACGAAGTTAGTCACAGAAAGTTCATTCGAAAAGTATTGTTTTGATTTGAGGTTAGTTTGGTGTTATTGCATTTCCCAAATTTAACTGATATTCAAGTGACAAAGTGGTATAAAAACATGAGTAAAGCACGTGTTAGCGAAGTTTGGACTTATTTCACAATATATGATGCTGAAAATGTAAATTGCAAGTTGTGTGATAAAAAGTACTCGCGCAAAGGCAGGACCACTAGTGCTATGCGAAATCACCTAGAAACTAAACACAAAAATGAATATGACGAATTGAAAAGAAGAGAGCATGAAAAGCGAGGTGCTGCTAAAATAAATTCTTTGGCGTCCTCTTCGCGACAATGTACCAAAACCGACCTTAAGCAAATATCTTTAGGTGATTGCATCGAAAAAAATAAAAAATGGGATAACAACAACACCAAGTCTTTGGAGCTAGATAATTTAATTGGCGAAATGATTGCACTGGAGGACTTACCATTTAGTTTTGTGGAATGCCTTGGATTTGTGAGATTGATTAACCAAGTGTGCCCCTCGTATAATTTAAAATCTCGGCAATATTTTACTTCGTTTATTTGCGAAAAATTATATGGCAAGGTAAAAGATAAAATTCTGGAATTAATCAAATCATTTGAAAAACTAGCGTTTACAACTGATATCTGGTCTGATTCTTGCTCTGGGGTATCGCTGATAAGTTTCACTTGTCACGGAATTACCAAAAGTTTTGAAAGAAAAATGATTGTTTTGAAATCTGAAGTATTTAATGATGGGCGACATACAGGAGAAAATATAGCCGTAAAGCTAGAAACTATGTTGTCATCATGGGGAATTCCCAAAGAAAAGGTATTATGTATTGTTAGGGACGGTGGCACTAACATGAAAAAAGGTATTTCTTTATTAAATATTAAAAACATTGATTGTTTATCGCACCAAATTCAACTTGTTGTTAAGGAAGGGCTTAAGTCACAAGAATCTATCATTGCAGTCATTAACAAATGTAAAAAGATAGCAACACATTTTCACCACTCTAATGTAGCTCAAGATGAACTTGCTAATCTACAAGAAAAACTTAATCAACCAAAGCTCAAGATAATCCAAGAGTGTGTTACGAGATGGAATAGCAACTTTTACATGTTAGAACGAATTTTAAAAAACAAAGATTCACTGTGCCTTTATGCTTCCACTAACAACAAAATTTCACAACTAAGTTCAGATGAATGGATAGTTGTGGAAAAATTAATTACATTGCTTAAACCTTTTGAAGAAATAACACGAGAACTAAGTGCAGCCAATGTTTCCATATCGTCTGTGATTCCGTTATTGGCCACCCTGGAAAAGGTGATTGATGAATATGAGGCATCTGAAGAATGCATTAGAAAAACTATACTCGTTTTAAAACAAGAAATGAATCACAGATTTTCTCACTTGGAAAACGACAAATTATTTGCTACAGCAACTTTTATTGATCCTAGGTACAAATCGAAATTTTTCAAAAATCCTTCAACCAAAGATCAGGTCGTGAAAAATATTTTGGATTTAATTGGAAATGAGGACTTCAGCTTTCCTTCATGTTCAAATTCAAAGCGTCCTAAAACGACTAATCAGGTTAAGGAAAACTTTGGCTCCAGTGCCAGTCTTTCAGAAAAATCTGTATCACTAAAAGAAACTATGAAAATGATGATGGACTCAAGTGAAAGCGAGGAAGAATTAGAAAATGAAATTCCAAATCCTGTAGAAGTTTTAATTAAAAAAAATATTAATGATTATGTATTGGATAAACGTATTGAAAATGAAGAAGACCCACTTCTTTGGTGGAAAGTTAATAGCAATAAATATGGTATTCTTTCTCCTGTAGCCAGAGAATATTTGGTAACTCCACCCACAAGTGTCCCCAGTGAAAGAGTTTTCAGTGGAGCTGGACTTCTCTACACACCTCACCGAAACAGGCTGCACGGAGAAAGAGCTTCAAAACTTTTATTTTTAAAATTTAACATTCCTTTACTTCAATTTAATTACTAAGAATTTAAAGTTACAGCGAGTTTAATTATTTTAATAGTCAACTGTGTCAACTTGTTATTAGCAAAACTATAATTGTGTAGTTTATATTTGATTATTTTTAATTCATAGAAAAAGAAAATTAGTGAAAAAATGTGCAATTGAAACCAAATGTTAACATTATGAATATTAGAACTTTACTTTTGTTTTAAATAGAAATAAATATTTTTTGTTTTTGTAAAAAGCTTATTTACAAATAGTCAAGTATTCATTATTTGATTTTTTAAGTTTATATTTCATTATCATATTTAATTCTTAGAAAATATATAGTGGGATGGAAAAATATATAATTAAAGCCAAAAAGGTTATAAATTAATATTATACTTAGATTTGATTGGATCTCTGAAGTTCTGTTTTCACAAAAGATACTTGAATTTAGAATTAGATTTTTTTCAAAATATATGTAAGGCATGGACATTCATTATTTTTTCTGTGGTGGAGTTAAGTTGTGATTTTGTTAATATTTTAATTAGACTAACAAGAACAAAAGAGAAAGTTTTTCTAATTTAGTTGCTTACCAAGACTGTTCCATAATATTTTTTTTTAATTCAAGTATGGTTAAATAAAAATATATAAATCTTATCAGTTGTGTTATCATTTCATATGCAACCATATAATAATTTCCTTTTTGTTTGTTAAATACATTCGCTAAATATTCGCATCGTTTTTTGCGAATAGGAATGCGAATGCGAATATCGAAAAATATGCGAATATTGGCGAATGCGAATGCGAATGCGAATATTCGTTACATCACGAATACATATACATATTTCTCTTTAAAAATACTTTTTATAAAATACGTCATTTTTTAATATAAAAACATTTCATTTCCTTAGACTATATGAACAAATATTGTGATAATATATAAAAAATTCAAATTAAGATTAAAGCTATAAAGATTGTTAGTAGAAAGTAGACAGTACGTGTAAAATAAGCATTTGTCATAGTAAAGGCAATAATTATAATTAATATATGTATAATAGATTTTTATTACATTCAAAACAATTAAGTATAATCTTACGTATGAATTCAAAATTCCGATAAGCATTGCGTTCTTTTGTCGCGTGACCTCATAGTACAACGCTCCGAATTGTTTAAAATAAAGAACCCGGCAAATATTTGTGAAGAAACTGTTTAAATTATGTTTTTCTTCGCGTACCAATTAATTGTAAGCATTTGATAATTCATACTGCTTATATAATGATAACTATTATTTGGAAGACATTGAAGATTCTTGTACAAAATATTACACTTAGTAATAATAATTATACATATTATAAACTATGTATATTTTTTCAGTTTTAAGTACTGTTTGTGTTTTTCAGAGATCATTATAGTTATTTGTGATAACATTAAATATTATGGTATTTAGTGTTAGTAAGAATTTTTAAGTTTTATATGAAAATCTTACAAGCTAATATATATAATACTTAAGAAATGCAAACAGCCATACCAATAGAAATACAACCTTGTTAAAAAGAGCAAAAGAGCCTATATAGAGCAAATTTCGCTCAAGCATTTATATAAAAAGTATAATACGTCCAAAAATATATAAACTTCCTTATTCAATATGATATCCCTCACCTAATACCAAATTGTAAAAAAATATTACATATATGTATAATCCAAGGCACTTAGTAGCTAACAGTATTTCTCTTTCAACTGTTTTCTTAATATTTTCCCAGCAGGGTTTTTGGGTATCGCATCAACGAATTGGACTTCTTTAATTTTCTTGAACTGTGTCACTTTATTGTTAACGTGTTCCAAAACTTCCTCTGCCTTGATATTTTGTCCTGGTTGAAGGACGACGAAAGCTTTAGGGACTTCCCCGGAAACAGAATCTGGGATGCCAAGAACAGCACAATCTACTATTTTTGGATGACTACGAAGAAGAGTTTCCAGTTCCGCTGGTGCCACTTGGAAGCCTTTAACCTGAAGAACATATTAATAAACATGTATCTCTGATTGAAATCTCAATATATTTTTGCGATTCACATATAAAATGCTACTAATATTATAATTGCGAAAGTTTGTGAGTGTGTGTATGTTTGTTACTTCTTCACGCTCAAACAGCTGAACAGATTTTGATAAAATTTTGTATACAGTAAGCTGACGTCCAGGAATAACACATAGGCAACTTTACATCCCGGAAATCTCGGAAATCTGCGGGTAACACCGCGGGGCACAGCTAGTATTTAAACAAGTAACATTACCTTAATGAGTTCCTTTATTCTGTCAGTAATATACACATATTTGTTTTCATCATATTTTCCAATATCACCAGTTTTGAACCAGCCGTCTTCTGTAAGGACCTCTCTGGTCGCTGCTTCATTCTTGTAATAACCCTTCATTACGTTAAGACCTCTGTACCAAATTTCTCCTTCCTGTAATTCAATATCGAATATTATTCATATATATTTAAAGAAAATATCTTCTATGTCATATTAATATTATCGAGGTCGTGGTGGCCTAGAGGTTAAAGGCTCGCCTCTCATGCATGAGGGGGCGGGTTCGATCCTGGCAAGCACCAATATGATTTTTCCGAGTCATATGTACTTTCTAAGAGTATGTAGACATCACTGACAGACAGTGAAGGAAAACATTGTGAGGAAACTTAGACTTATAATTTCAAATTATAAGTTTGAAATCACCTTCCCGTATTGAAAAAGGGTGGTGATTAATGCTCAAACCTTCTCCGTGTGAGAAGAGGCCTTTGCTCAGTGGGATGTGATAGGCTGACGATGATGATTAATATTATCATGTGTTGCCAGGATATTTAATCAAAACTGATGTGTTGCCATTTTATATGTTTATATATTTTTTATTAGGCTTAAGTAAATAAATGTTTATATATACAGGGTGACTGGTGGATTACTATCGATATTTGAGGACGTGATATTTGACGATCATATATGACAAAATAAAAATTAATATAACATAAATATTAATAAACTTCTAAGTAAAGTTAACCAAAAGTTATGTAATTAATTACGCATCGTATGAACACCCTACAGATTAGGTATACACACACACTCACACACTCGCGCGCGGCGGCATGTTGTTGTATCAGCACGCCGCCGCACGCGTCCACACTTGGAACACTTGGAACGTGTACACACTTTATTTATTTATACGGAAATTTGGTCAAAAATTAAGTACCTATTTTTTTTACATAATTCGAATGAGAATCATGTACCGAGTATTATCCTTAAATATTGATAGTAATTCACCAGTCACCCTGTATATTTTTTATTAGGCTTAAGTAAGTAAATAAATGTTCTATTACCTGTCCCGGTCCTAAAGCTTCTTGGGTCTTCAGATCAGCTACCTTTATTTCGCTGCTTGGGAAAGGGAATCCCACGGAATCGTGATTTGTATTGTCATTATAACCGATAGTGGCGCCACCATTTGTCTCAGTCAAACCATAGCCTTGACGAAAGATTAGTTTCTTCTGTGAAAATAATATATTAAAATGAAGTTGTTCTTATGAAATAACATATTTGAATAAATTTAATATCTTATTTCATTTAAGATATTTTAAAATAATGTATGGATGTTCTTAAAGCAAAAATACAATTTTTGTATTAATCTATAAATATATGATTCACAAATATTTAATTATTTAAACATCAAATTGTATTAAGTAAATAAAAATCATTATTTATTAAAATTTAAGAAATAAATTATTTTAATATACCATATAAATTATATGTAATATTCACAAGAATTAAATTTAATATGAAATTTAAACACAATTCATTATTCTAATAGTTTGGTTATGTCAGATTTATTTATAGTTTTTTATTTATAAGTAAATGCTATGTCATATTATATTATTTATGACCTAACGTAAAAGATGCCGCTATTCACAATTATTAACCGTATATTAACTTAATTATTCATTAAGCTTATATTTAATAGATGACCGTACACTCATTATAGCATTCAGATTTCAGTATATTAAAAAACTGTAAGATTTATCAGCTATTTATTAATTAAATGGAGAAATAACTGTACCATTTTATAATCAATTAATGATTTTTTTAACGTTTTCATTTAAATTAAAAACAACGTGATTTTTTATTCATAGGACCTACTTTTATCTGAACAATAGATCATCTATTATCGAATTGTTTACAAATGGCAGAGAGGAGTATTTTAAAATATTTAGATGCATCAATTATTTTAAAACTTACAAAGAAGACATGAATACAATAATTATTTAAAGGAATTGTGAATAATTCGACGTTTTATTGACTAGTAGTAATCACATCGTATTCATATTCTAACGACCTTTCTTCGATTTAGTACCTAATTAAATATTTGTAGCTGAAATAAAATTGGTCCCAAAACCTTCATTTGAAACTGAAAGCTGAACATTTTCTTTGGTCGCTGTCTAGTTAGAACAGATATTTAACTTGAAAGGCCTCTGGAATTTTTGGTTATTGTTATTGAGTTGCGTATAATATCGTATATTTTTAATTTTGCGTTAAAATTGTCATTGGCACGTCATAACAACCCATACGATTAATTTGCTCTGTCATGCATAGTACAACCAACCAACCAACCAATAGATAAATATTGTGTTTTATGATATATCCAAATTAATTGTAATACAAATATCATAAATATAGTACGAAATCCACACACATTTTCGACAAACTTAGTAATCTTCAGTTTTTGCTAATAGGTACTTGGTATATGCTATAGGTAATAAATATAACAAAATGTATTTGAGCTATATTATTTCTAGAGTATATTGACTTGTTTCAATCACAAATCGTAAAAAATAAATCAAATACAAAAAATAAAACCTTGACAATAAAAAACAAAGTTTATAGAAAATGCTTGTAATAAAGATTTATTTCCATACAACGCTTTTCGAATAGGCGTCTTTATGATTCAACCAATACTTTTTTATAAGAGATCATTTATTTCAAGGCATAAGAAAATTAAAAAATTTCGCATCTACTGAAAATTCAAATAAAGAGGATATATACATTTACAAAATATTTACCGTGAAACGACAAAATTAGGTATAAAAATTATATTATATACAAGGAAAATCATGTAGGCCGGTGCAATTACTCATTATTCTTCGTGTAAATGACTAGTTATTGGGTAAATTATGAATAATTTAATAACAAGTCGAGTTTGTAATATAGCGTTTTGTTTTGTGACGTTTTAATCCTACATACTTTATTCTCCGTATCATAATGGTTTTATTTTTATATTGCATTGGAATTTGACCCTTTGTCATATTTATCGTAGTCTTCATACGACAACTGATGTTCGAGAAGTTATTTTCATAACACAAAGGAGTGAGATTATTTTAAGACCATCAATTTGTTATCAGTAAATGGCTAAATTAAGATGCAATTATACAAATCGAGTTTTAATCACTCCTTATAAAAATAAATTGTGTTTGAAGAAAATAACAACACCACATAATAAAAGAACGACGTAATGAAAGAAATAGTATACTCGTATACGAAAATGTTTGAGTAGATAATAATTAATAATTATTCATAGAGACATTGGATTCAGGATATATACATAGTCGAGGACGTTTCTTTCTTTATCAAACAAAAATTACGGAATGATTTTAAGATAACATAGCAATATTATATTATAGCTTATATATTAAAACAACATATTGTATATAATTTATCCCGAATCCCGCATTTTTCCCATATATACAGGGTGACTGGTGAATTACTATCAATATTTAAGGAGCATACTCGGTACATGATTCTCATTCGAATTATGTAAAAAAAATAGGTACTTAATTTTTGACCAAATTTCCGTATAAATAAATAAAGTGTGTACACGTTCCAAGTGTTCCAAGTGTGGACGCGTGCGGCGGCGTGCTGATACAACACTACGCCGCCGCCGCGTCTGTGTGAGTGTGTGTGTATACCTAATCTGTAGGGTGTTTACACGATGCGTAATTAATTACATAACTTTTGGTTAACTTTACTTAGAAGTTTATTAATATTTATGTTATATTAATTTTTATTTTGTCATATATGATCGTCAAATATCACGTCCTTAAATATCGATAGTGATTCACCAGTCACCCTGTCTAAGGCGTAACAATTTGCTTCTCAAAGTGCGCTAACTTCTTCCGTTGCTCTGTAGCAAACAATAGCCTATTCTGATGCACGGCTTAATGCAGTACCTTTACCTCAACTCGGGCTCTACTTTACAAAATTAATTAATTTACACGCAAGCCTTATCTTCTAAAATCATTAGCGGGGGTTTTCTACTTTAGCTTGCTAATTTTGCAGCGAGTTAAGATCTCTAGGGAGTAACTTTATTCGGAACTCAGTCTCAGAAAGAAACTTCTAGCCACTTAAGCTCCTTATCTAACTGAGTAAACTTACAGACTAAGCCTACAGTGAGTGTACACATTTCGTATCCTTAGATTTACACTAATATGACTCACTTATACCTCACGAAACTCACTCACAAGTCACAAGAAAAACCTTAAGACTCACGACATCTGTGCCAGAGACTCGCCAGTTTAATAAATAGTATTTTCTTTCAGGCTCGCGAACAGCCCATACCAGAATATTAGTTGCAATATTTATGTTCTAGGTAAATGTTTTTCAGGATGGAAAATCAGTTCTGTATTTTGAGCTAGAAACTTTCGTATTCAGTTCCAACTTTTATGGTTGAAGAAAAATGGGCGACGTTTTACAAAGCGGTAACTTTTGGCAGTATATACAATATTAATCATGACGTCAATCTCTGAATATAAAGTATTTATTCGGCATAACACTCAGTTTTTAGAAACACTTCACGCGAACCTTTTTGGAATAAGAAATTCATCAAATCGTCATGCTTAACAACAACATCTGCTCTCAGTGTTTTCTGTGCCTAAGGCCGAATACTGTATACCCTTTCCCTAGCTAAATTTATAGTTTCCTTTATGTGAATACACCGCAGCGAAAGTGCCAACGACTTTTTATCATTCTATTATGTTATTTAAACAAGTCTGTTATTATCATTGTTTAAGTTATATAATCTGGTAGCTGATGTTAGTACTTTGACTCGCCGTAAAGTTCTTATCAAGTCATCGACTTCATAAGCGATTCGGATATTATGTATCAAACAAAAAAGTTGAAACGGGAGGACAATAATTATACACACTTTAGTTTAATCTGGCGTTTATTACTTTTCACACAATCCCGTAGGTACACTGTCAGAGATTCCTCTAGCACTCCGTCACGAGAGAGATCCTTTCCTTACAGGGTATCTTCTCTCAATCCCCCTGCAATTCCAAAATTAAACGATGTGACGCCACTGACGCTCTCGCTGATTGGTCAAACGCTATGATTGGCTAAGCTCTGTGATTGGCTAAGACAGTTTCGGCGGCATACTGTCATGGCAATAATTCCGCCTGGCTCAGGCGGTGGCTTGGCTGGGCTTGGCATGGCATGGCACTTATGGCATGGCGTTACAGTCGGCCATCCTACAATAATTGCTCCCGCAATGGTTATTAGCTTTCCAGAAGATCAATTAAGTCTTCCGTCTCCAATTGCTCATCGGAACTGCTGGCACTGTCAGATACAGGAGCTACGCTATGATAGGGTCGCAGACTATCGCCAGAGACTAGACCCGTAAAGTTTTTATAACCTCTTAGACCCTTAATGCTTCTAATCCTGTATCTGTCATTACCAATACACTTAATGATAATATAAGGTCCGGAATATAAGTCATCTAGTTTAGTATTAACCTTAGCAGCACTACTTGTAGGAGCTTTCTTCCATAAAACTAGGTCTCCTCTTTTGTAAATATGACAGGCTTTACGTCGTTTATCAAAGTTACGTTTTATCTTAATACTGGCCTTTTTAATACGTTTATTAGCTTTCTCACGCCTTGACTGAATAGATTCAGGTATACGACCTGGTATTGTTACATCACACACAGGCCTAGCACTACGCGCGAACACTAATTCGTAAGGCTTAATACCCGTGGTATCATTTATGGTATTGTTTATACCCCAAATGATATCAGGCAAACAATTAGACCAGTTATTAGCAGCTTCACTAGGGTCGGTAGCGCGCAATGCATCGAGTATAGTCCTATTTGTTCGTTCGACTTGGCCGTTAGCACGCGGGCACGCTATTGCATTAAGTGTATGTTTGAATTGCTTTTCGGAAGCATACTTTTTGAAATACCGGCTTGTAAACGCCTTGCCGTGATCCGTTACTATCCTATCAGGATATCCAAATAATGAGAATATTCTTTTGAGCATTCTAATTGTTTCTATTGAATTAATAGTTCTATGTAGTAGGTTCTGCTATAACGAATTTAGAAAACGCGTCGGTTACTACTAACATATACGCATAACCTTTCTTAGTCTTACAAAATGGGCCTAAATGATCAACATGTATCATTCTAAATGGTTCCGTTGGCTTAGGTATAGGATGAAGTAATCCTTCCTTCCTGCCATATATCCCCTTCCCATAAGCACAATGTAAACAAGAAGTGACATACTTTTTGATGAACCGCGACATTTTAGGAAACCAAAACTCACGTTTTATTAGATCAGTACAGCGCTTTAAACCCACATGACCAATATCATCATGGTGTATTTGGACAATTTTCCACTTCGCAAGTCCGGGAACTACTAACCGATTGCCATTTAGTGTCTTACGGTATAATCTATTATCTAACAACTCATAATTGTTGAGTATCTCGGGCTGAGCCGATCCGTTTTTCAACAGCTCCATGATATTTCTTAGTTTGTCATCCTGATATTGAATCGTATAAAACCAGTCAGTAATTTCGAGACGATTTATATTGACTGTGTCAATAGGATTCCTACTTAAAGCATCAACATGTTTCATGCGTTCGCCGGGTCTATATTCAACGCTAATGTCGTACTCTTGTATCGATAACCACCACCTAGCAATTCGCGGAATGATATCCCGTTTTGTAAGAGTGGCACGAACAGCCGTACAGTCCGTTACTACTTTCACATGTTTGCCTATGACGTACACGCGAAATTTACGCAATGATTCTACTACCGCCAATGTTTCAAGCTCATAGCTATGATAAATACTTTCTTCTTTAGAGGTTACTCGACTAAAATACATAACTGGGCGCAACGTATTATCTGATTGCAGCTGTAACAAAATACCTGCGACCCCTAACTTGCACGCATCGGTATGTATTTCTGTATGTAGTGTCGGATCATATAATGCTACCACAGGTTTAGAGCACAAACGCTTTTTTAACTCCTTAAAACTACCGTCCTGTTTATCGCTCCATACCCAAGGCACATTTTTTCTAGTTAGTTCTGTCAGAGGACGAGCTATAATTGCAAATTTGTTTATAAATTTTCGGAAGTAACTACAGAGGCCAATAAATTGGCGTACCTCGTGAACGCTTTTAGGCACAGGGAACTTTGAAACGGCATCTAATTTTGAATCTGAGGGTTGAACACCTTTTGAAGTAATTTCGTGTCCTAAGTAAGTGACCTTGTCTTGAAGTAATGAACATTTTTGCATATTTAGTTTTAAGTTTTCAGATTCGAACTTTCGCAATACTGATTCTAACATTTTTATGCCACTGTTTATATCAATAGAGGGAAGTAATAAATCGTCTAAGAATGCTAAAATCTCATTCGAGGAGCTGCCATCTGACGTATAACGGATGGAATCGACTATTTTGTTTACGAGACGCATAAAAACCGAGGGTGCATTCGCTAATCCAAAAGGAACACGTAAGTATTCGTAATGACCCTGAGGAGTAATAAAAGCTGTCTTATGGGTGTCTTCGGGAGCTAATAATAATTGATGGTAACTTTGTGCCATATCTAAAATTGTAAAATACTTTTTACCGGCTAATTTAGAAATCTGGTCTTCTATATTAGGGAGAGGATATCTATCTTTTACTGTGATATTATTGAGGGCACGATAGTCGACACATAAACGACTGTCGCCGTTCTTTTTCCTAACTAAAATAACTGGAGCAGCGTAACTCGATTCCGACTCTTTAATGATAGAGGCATCTAGTAGGTCACGAACTTTAGAATTGACAATTTGCTGCTCAGCATGCGATAACCTATAAGGTTGACGATATATTGGCTGTGGAATCGTAAGTTTGATTTTCATTTCTAACAGTTTTGTGCAACCGAGATCTCTAGTATTTGCCGCAAAAGTGTGCTTAAATCGCAATAGTAATTGTATCAAACTACTATGTTCGACTTCATTTAACTTTCCTACACTAATTTCACTTATAGGTACTCCTCCTATGATTAAACTAGAAAGATCGTCTGTATTCAAAATAGGAGCTATAGATTTTGATTCAGGTGAGCTTTTGGCTAAGTAGGGCGTATTTGGCATGATTTTAAGTAAATTTGTTAATGGTTTGGCTTGGCTTACTCGAGTTGGCTGGTTGGCTACTTCATGACAGCTCTCGGCACGCGCTAGAACCTGGCCCGCTTCCCAGTTGACGTCCCCTGTACCACTGTTTACCACCTTCATGTAACCCTCTCCGCCTTGAAGCAACGTTGCCGGTAGAGAATATGAGACACCATGGAGTTCGTAGTGGCGTGGTGTGGTGCAAACTTCATTCCCATCTCCATTACCGACCACCCTAACCTTAATGATGGAGGCACCAGGTGGTAAAGACTCCTTGTTCAATGTAGTAACCATAAATTTATTCTTGTCTTCGACGACATCGAATTCTGGCGAGACATCTGTTTTCCGAGTCAATGTGGCTCTCCCATTAGTGACTACTAACGATACATGTTCTGCATTGATAACGGGTTGGCCAATCAGTAGGTGAATATCTTGCATGTCGGCCTCCGTCACATGTGCCGTGCATTGTATGTGAATATTATCAATTTCTAACTCAAATTCTACTACTCCACGACTAGTCAAAAAATCACCTGAAAAGCTTTTGAGCCGTGTACTTGTAGGTGTAACATCGAGCGACAAGAGACTCACCATCTGAACATTTATAACGTTAACTTGGCTTCCGGTGTCAATGTAAGACTTAATATAAATTCCATTCACCTTTGCTACCTTTTTGTAGATTTCGTTGTAGTTTTGCACCATTCTAACCTCTTTAATGTTGTCATTTGATTCCATAGAACGTCTGGAGTTGCTAGCCGAAGTGCCGGAGCAGCGAGTGGCGATGTGTCCTTGTTGACCACATTTAAAACAAATACGTTGATCCGGTAATGTACAGTTGCGCAACATGTGGCCGGTCTTCTTACAACGGGGGCAAGGATCAATTTCAGGATTGACTTTTTTATCCGAACTCGACGATTGTTTCGTGTCTTTGGTCATCATCCGAGGTTCAAATGTGGGAGAATGATAATCATCAAGAGCACAGAGGAAAGATTCATATAACTCATCAGGACGTTGGCATTGAAACGCTCGGGCATTCGGTTGTAGGTATACGGGTAAGCCTCTGATGATACACGATACACTAGCACTATCAGATAAATGGCAACGGAAGCACATAGCAATTTTGTCTTGATAATATTTGGTCATCGTCTCGTTTGGTAGCTTCTTTCTTTGCATCATTTCGTTTAATAGTAGGCTAAAGTCGCGATGTTTTGGAAAGGCTCGTACCAGCATATGTTTCCATTCGGCCCAGGAGTAATCGTAGTTTTCAAGTCTGTTGTACCATTTGCGAGCTTGACCACGTAATTTATCCTGCAGGTAAAAAGCTTTGATTTTCTCGTCCCACCCATGTATGTCTCCTAATTGATCAATCTTCTTTAACCACGAAGTTACGGTGCAATCCTCACCATCGGGATCGAATTCGGGAATAAGGGATGCTGCACGATGACTCTTGACGTGGTTGAACGAAATAGTGTCGTCATTAAGGTTGTAAATTGCTTTTTTTCATTTTCTTTTTTCGACTTCATTTTCTAACAATGACTTCAATATTTTCCTTGCAGGTGGAAGTGAATTATTTTCTTCCTCGTCACTATCGTCTTGATTTTCGCTCCATCCTGGAGGGCGGACACTGCACCCAGCTTCGTTAGGACGACTGCGCTTCATATCCCACTTCTGAGTGAAACGGGAGGACAATAATTATACACACTTTAGTTTAATCTGGCGTTTATTACTTTTCACACAATCCCGTAGGTACACTGTCAGAGATTCCTCTAGCACTCCGTCACGAGAGAGATCCTTTCCTTACAGGGTATCTTCTCTCAATCCCCCTGCAATTCCAAAATTAAACGATGTGACGCCACTGACGCTCTCGCTGATTGGTCAAACGCTATGATTGGCTAAGCTCTGTGATTGGCTAAGACAGTTTCGGCGGCATACTGTCATGGCAATAATTCCGCCTGGCTCAGGCGGTGGCTTGGCTGGGCTTGGCATGGCATGGCACTTATGGCATGGCGTTACAAAGTTTAAAGCCTAATCTTATAAAAAACGATAAACAACAATGACAAGTAATGTTATCAACAAATCAAAAACAAATAATCGTATGAACAATCCAACGATAGTGACTTCTGAAGGTGAATATGATTAATGTGCAGTTTGTTGTAATGGATACTAGCTATATAAACCTAAGGACGTCCTTTATAATATACAAATTTCTTAAAAAAGTTGGAAGTAAAAAGAATGCAAAGTATTTATTGAAGGTTTTGTTTGATTTCGTTTCTTTAAAGACATTTGCACACACTGAATCTGAGAAAGCAACATATTATGAAATAGTGATTGTACTCGCAAAAAATAGGTAAATGCGCTATTGTCATAGATATTTCTTGTTAAGACTGTAAAGTGTATATCTTGTATACTAACGAGTCACTGTCTATTCAGATATTTTTTTCTTGCCCTTGGACAAAACAAACCTCGTTTAATATAAGAAAATATAACTGTTCATTAACTATATACTCGTTTGCTTTTTATAAAAGTTAAACTAAACAAAAACCGAGTTTTATATCAAAATGATTTTTGGTCTTATAAATGCATTTAAACATAATTTAGAATTATTATTTTAAATTTATGTTGTTTTATGTAATTAAAATTCATACGTTTTTTCCCCAAATAGCATAATAGATATATATTGTAGTATAAATTTTGACTTTTCATTGACCTTGTAAATATATATTACCTAAAAAAACTCATCCACAAAAAAAAACATTTACTATGGAATTATGGCTATCTCGATAATTATGGTTCCGAAGCGTAACCCTAAAAGACACGAGATAGGCCATTTTAATATAATTTTATTGAAATATGGAAAGAAACTTACATTCTTTTCAATAATGGCATTAGCGTCCCCACTAGAAATAGAGGCAGCTCCACAAATGATGTCGATGACTGAGTCCAAATGCCGTGGAGTAACAGCCGGATGCTTCCCCAGGAAGATTGCTTAAACATTATTTATTACCCGATTACGGCGACGCGAAATTGTTATAATGTATAAGTTTAATTAATTCCTTCTGTTAAATGAGCAATATCTTGAACTATTCGAATTTCGAGTTAGAGAGCAAAATATATGTAATACTGATTATGTTATTTGTGTTTGGGCTCTCAATTATTCAGTTTCTGTTTGCTTAGTCTATAGTCTTGAAGTAAATCAAAAGTTCTCAAACTTTTTTCTCTTAGAATAAAATTAAATTTGCATGAGCTAAAACTAAACTAAAATCGTTAATTTTTCCATTAAGAAAAAATAAATATGATGTCAATCTCGATAAGTTATACTGAATATAGTAAATGCAAGGTTGCAATCAAGTCTTGAACTTCTTAAAAAATTATCTACCGACATTAATAGACTAAATCAAGTCGAAATTTTAGTACCTATCTAAACAGAAAATATTATTGAGGATGACGTTATACGAATTGGAAACCTCCCCCTCTCCCTTTTGTCACAAAAGGGAGAAGGGGGAGAGATTAATGCAGACCCTAATGAACCGTAGGGACACACTTATTAGAACTAATTTTGTGACCAACGTGATAAAGGGTAGAGAAATTTCTAGTCACACTTACCCATCGGCGGAACAATGTATAAATGATTGGCCTTTTGACGAATCAGAGTATCCAAATATAACTCCGGTTTGAATACTGGCATCGTCACAAGTTTAACGCCCCGCGACATTAAGTTCAGCATGAGAACGTTGAAGCCAAATATGTGGAATAATGGTAGCACTGCTGGTAATACCGGCTGGAAGGACGCTGGTAGGAAAATTTCAACAATTTTACTTAGGAATTAGTACGCAGTTTGTAAAAGAATTCAAAATTTTTTAGGTATAGAGAGGAGCTTGGACAATGGAGGTGACGATGTCACGTGCGTTAGATAGGAGCACCGTAAACCTGCACCTGGGTCGCAAATCCCAGGCACTGTAGAAGCTTTTCTTCTCTTATCAATATGTTATATAGGCCATAAAAATATAAAAAATAATCAAATAGAGTATGTATTTATTCTATTTTAGTATAGTACGCACCTGTAGCTTCTTGGACAGCTAAAATTCTTGGAGTCAATATCATGCTATTAAGAGCGCATATACTTTCATGGGTCAGTTCCACAGCTTTTGGAAAACCAGTTGTTCCACTGGAAAATGGCAGGATAGCTGTGTCTTTGACGTTTCGTTTTACCGATTTTAATATATCCAAGTCTGTGTTTTCAGCGAGTTCGGCAAACTTAATAGTGTTCTCAGGTAAGTCTTCATTGTCAATTAATATCATAGGGATATTCAATTTTAGTTCTTGCAGTGCTTTACACAAATTTGGATACGATAATTTGGAAGTTACTATTGCCTTACACTCCACGAGTTTTATTTGATGTTTGAGTTCATCTTAAAAACAAATTTTCAATGAGAAATTATTTGTTATTACATTAATGCTTCTTAGATAAATAAATGAAATTTAGCAAGAAAATTGAAACATCCTAGCAAAATGTGATACATATAAGTTTTGTTCTGCAAATTTTTGTTCCACTAATTGTCTTACATGATTGAAAAAAAGCATTGCAATGTGGAAACAGTTACATAGTTAATAATCTTTCATTAAAATTCACTGGTGCATAATTTATAAGAAGACAGTCAAGTGCCTGCAAAGCAATCTTATTAAAACAAAATAGATAAGAGTTTAATCCACAACATAAATCCAATATAGATGGATGAATCTTGATTTAGGGCCTGATAAATTTTTACTCTTACATGAAAACTTAAAATAAAGGTATGATCTCATTAATTTATTTTATAAATATGTAATATTTCTAACCAACTGTGTATGCAGGATTCATCATGCTAGCGATACAGCCAGCCTCCAAAATACCAAGAGCAATGGCTGGATATTCCGGAACATTTGGTAAGACAATCCCAACCTTATCATTGTGTTGCAGTTTGAGTTTTTTAAGTAATGATGCAGCAAAAGAAACAGATAATCTATGTGTTTGAGCATAAGTGTAACCACGGCCAGTTACAGCACAAACCTGTTGAAAGATTGTCCGATAAGTTATAACTATAATATATAAATTATTGTTACATTATAAATAATGACTCTTACAGCTAATGTTTTGTCAGGCCATCTGTCCAAGTTCTGCCACACAAATTCGGTAACAGTTAGTCTTGGCTTCTCTATACTATCACAGTCTGATCTTAATATATTTTTTTCTGTGCTATTATCTCGGGATAGTATGGGTAAGAAAAGTTTCCGTTTGCTAACCACTTGCAGAACCCTCCGATGTAAAACTGTTGTCATTGTTAATGTGTCTGTAAGAGAATGATTAAGGAAAATAACTACTATTTATGATCAATAACCTACATTAAAATATACAAAATTCTAATCAATATATATTATTATTGATACCCTTGTAAGGAAGGTAAGTATATTTTGTTTATTAAAGTTTTCAAAAAGTAATATGTGTGTTGTAAATTTTTTCAGATGGGAGATACACAAATTTATTTAATAACTCAATAGAATTCTATTCTATTCTTGAATTCAAGAGAGCTAGATAAAATTTCAATATGAGCATCTAAGGCAATAAAAATATGATAAGACAAGTTAAAATGCTTCTAATAATATTATTATATAAAGATATAACATTCTTATCATTTACATAATAAGAGATAAATATAATTTATTTAAATATATATCAGATCATCTTATTTTTACTTTTGTCTTCCTAATCATATTATCATATACCTACATATATACAAACTACTATAGTTCAATATGTATTAGTCTCATGTTTTATCAGTGATAAATACTAACATACTTAAAATCTTATTATTAAAGTTATTCTTTTAACATAAAACCTTTTTAGTCTTCTTACGTCCATTATATTTAAAAAAACTAGTCACATATAAAAACTTGTTAATCAACTTTATTGAGAAATCGCAATGAATGAATAATAATCAATAATCAGATTTCTTGATTTGTTGTTTTAATAAATTTAGTCAAAAAATAATATAAGGAATACATTTTCTAAACTCACCTTTGTTTGACGGTCGCTTTCGGTACAAGCTTAATATTAACTAGATCTTTATTAAAACTGGACTTTGATAACACTGTACCTACACACATTAACACAACGAAAACTGAAATTAAAAACTCACACACTCAAAAAGTATATGAAGGCCGAAGTAATATATTTTGTTTTTATTGTAAGAATGTGGTATGCGTGTGATTCAAATGAATAGCTGAAATGAAATAATTTTTTTAACCACTCAAAAAACAAAAACAGTGATAGTAGAACGCTTGATAACAACTAGGGTTGTCAGTGTCAGCTGTAAAATACGTCACACTTTATTTTTCAAATGACGGTTTTAACTTAAAAATATTTGATGTTATGACCATTTTTGTAAATTATAAATCACTTAAGCAAGTAATCTGTATTTGTTGGAAATATTTTTTTAAAAAACAAGATACAGAAATCATTTTACTATATCGTTGGAACATTCCATCTTACCTTGATATTTTCGAGAAACTGAAGGTTCAAGGGATACAAAAAAATAAAATAAAAACTCATTAACGGTACTTTAATTAATGACAAATCGGGTATATAAAATTTATTTAAGCTAACAAACTGTATTCAATAAATGTGAACTAATAGATGCGTACAGTATAATATACAGAAATAAAATATTTAGTGAACATGACATTATACAAAACATTTAAAATGGAGACACGATAAAAATACCTTAAGTTTAAAATGAACATTTAATAAAACAAGTTGACATTGAACAAACACGGCTAGGTCAATGTTTTTGTTGGACCAATTAGAAAGATTAGTAATAAGCACGTAAAATTGACGCAGGTTAGAATATGGTAATAAATAATTTTAGATGTTTTTATGAATTACAGTAATATTAGTCTATATTTATAAGGAACAGATCTAAAAAAAGACTACAATTATGACACTATTTCCTTCTTTCTTCGCTTCCTATACATGCCTATAACCGACAAATCCAGTCTTCCAATACATTACACATTAAATTTTAATCTTAAATTCAAATAATCAATTTTTTGAACATTAACAATCCCTAAAATATAAACATCGTTAACAATAACTCTTATAAATCAAGACGAATTGACAGCTTGACCTATAGTTACTAGGTAATTTTTATTTAGATGCTATTCTATGGGGAGTGAGTGTCTATGGTAGCTATTTAATTATTTATGAAGCTAATGACAATAAAGGTAATAATTTATATTCAAGACAATTTCAGTTACATAAATGCATACATAATAAGTAAAACTAGATAAGGCAATATAAACATTGCCTATTTAATATGTTATTGACTCTCATTTTGATTAAAATTCCTTGCTTTTGATATAATTATAGATAATTTGGATTTTAGTTTGAAATTAATTAGTTGAAACTTCAGATTAGGTATCAGTTTCTTGTTAACACTCTTTACGAAATGTTATCCCTGAAAAAAAAAAAACAGAAAAATTAATAAGTTCAGTACATCTTATGAACATAAATATATTTAATAATAATTAAAATAACAAAACATTGTATTCATGTATAGCAAACATTACCTTAAACATTCAGAGATTCCCAATTTCTTCTTCGAACAAACGTTTTCCACCTTTTAGTATTTTCTCAGAATCATTATTATATTTGATCATATATTCCTCCAGTCTTATTAACCATTGGGCCCAATGTTCTCTCAACTTGTCAGTCGATAAATGATATGCATCTGCCTTAGATCCATCTGTGTAAGCAATCACTAATAATGCATCTCGGACATTGAAATGTTTATAGTTAAGGTCGTTGCACACTGCCCCAAAATATGCAGCTAATTGAACAGGATTGTCATATGTCATTTGTAAGGATTTCCGAGGCTTATCAGATTTCTTCCATTCAATCAATGTAGGCTTGTCTCTGGAAGAAATTATATGAGAAATAAGTAAAATAAATTAAATATACTTATACAAATATAACAAATAAGTATACAATCTTACTCATAATCTGCTATAGCATCAAATATTCCTCGATATTTCAGTAGTGGATGAACTACATTAGATTCTATCGCTTTCGGAGAAGATATACTCTTTAAGACCTCGCTCACAGAAACCCAGACAGCTTCGACATCCTTTTCAATACGTAATTGGGTTTGAGGTTGTGTGAAATAGTTTTTAAGGGTGTTATGAAACTTTGTGCCAACAGCTAATTGTGCTGAAATACAATATTTTTGTCAACAACAATGTTTAATTTTATTTTGGCTCAAATTCAGGCATGTCTTTGTTATCAAAAATATATCAATATACATTTAAAATAAACCTATAAGTTTTATTACTTTTTACAGATTTCAATTGAAAATTTTAGGCCTTGAGACATAACTTGTGTATGTTTCTAAACTAACAAACAACTACCCATATTGCAAATATGCATTAGTCAACAGAAATAAATGGTTGTTAAAAAAAAGAGATAATACAGATAATATTCTCAGTGTTTAGTTAGCTTTAATGAAACATATTTTTATACCATAAGGAATGTTTAAAGATTTCTTATTTTGTAGGATTCTGAAAAAATCTCTACACTTAAATGATTCCAGTGTTAATATATTTTTAATAGTAACATTTAAGATAAATTACTGAGTACAGCTAAATAAATGTACAAAAATGATCACCAAATGTCATCAATAATTAAGTTACTAAACAGAATTTTCTGTTTAAGAACTTAAATTTAATGTTTATATGATTTTTTAATGGTTATATGACAAAATACTGTAAGCTCAGAACAAGGATAGCAAAAAATTAAAGGGAAAAATGTGACCACGATTATACTTTATATATTTTTAGAGTAAAGAGTGTAAGATATAATTTAAAATACATATTCCTCATGTCACATTGCCAAAGCGTAGTGTCATTTACAGTTTTTAAATAACTTGATCTAATGACCCCATAGCAAAAATATGGTTTTGAAACAAAAAAAAAATTGCAAGGTAATGTTATTCAATTTAATTACATTTCCATATATATGGTTGTTAATCTAGCAATATCATAAACTAAAATTTTCTCAAAACTACAACCACAGCCTGCTGAGTGTGATGATTGACCCTATGCATATGGGTGTTTATAGGTTTACATCTAGCATTAGACAGCAAAAGCATTTGATTTAAAGGAAACAAATTAAAACAAACTTTTAACCTTCATATGAATAACATACCTTCATAAAATCTATTAAATTCTTCTAATCCCATTTCTGCTATCCTTTCTTGTTTCCATTTATCAAGAGCTTTTCTAGATTCCTCCGTCATTGTTTTGTTTAATATCAATGTAACTGATGGAAACTGTTTAGTAAAATCATTTTGATGTTGTTTTATTTGGATTATTTTGTCATCACTAGCATACCCTGGCTGTGCAGGGGAGCTCCGTGCTGAATTTTTAATCGCATTGGTCCTAAAACATCTGATCGGCACACCATTGAATATAACACCCAGAAAGTTGAAACAAGTCCTTGTGTTTTGCCACATTTTGTGTTGAATTATTCCTAAGTTCGTTAAGTAACTAGACTTCACTTGTCTTTGAATTATATCATGTTTACTAGCATCCACAAACTTTGGCGTATTTTCATTCGATCCAATTGACTCGTTGTTTTGATGAGAACTATTTTTAGCTGAAACAGATAAAATTATGTCGTAGAAATGTTTGCACGTATACCACAGCTTTGTCATATGATTAAAAACGAATTATAAATGTGCGTACGTCGCACTTTATTATTTACATTGTATTTTTAGAACGTTACTGCGTAGTACAATAACAATTTATTCTGGTTGACATTGTCCATAAAACATGTAGAATTGAAATATCAGGTTTAGAAAGTATGAATATTTGACCACAAGGCTAAACGAAAATATTTAAACTAACCTTCTTTCTTTAAACGACTCTTCCTTTGCCTATTAGTTTCAAGCAATGGCCCGAACAGATCTTTATTTTCTCTATTGTATAGTTTTATTTTTTCAGCCGGTTTCAGGATAGAGGCAGGTCGAACCACTTTAGTTCTGACAGTTTCTTTTTGTAATATGAGTTTTCGATGAAAAGCACTAAGTGGACGAAACATATTGTTCGTCTAATTTGGGTGGAAACTTCAAACAAACGTCAGAATAATATATTTTTCTGCAAATACTTTTCAAGGAATCCAATTTGTAAAATATTTTGTTTAATTTTTTAATAACAAGCCTTTTTTTATAATTTTCTGTTGCCAGGCAACACGAACAACTAAATAATATGATAATATATTTCTACTTTATGATTTTGTTGGTACAGAATAATGAATACTATTATTATTTGCAAGTTATTAATTAATATAAATCAATTAGTGTGATATAAAATATTTAATATATAATAACGATAATGATCAATTTCTTTGAATCATAGTTTTTGAATATATTTTTTATAAATATTGGGTGAAATGCCATCTATCAATTACTGTAGGATTTTTGTGAAGTGTTGCTAGTGTTACAAGCTTTATTTCTGTAAACGAGATGTCTCTAGTAGAATAGATAGCTGACCAGAACGAAAAGTCTATCTCAATGGTACAAATTGTAGGCTAGCCAATACATTTTAATTTAGCCGACTTGCTTCGTTATCTCCAATAACACTACTATAAGTCTACTCATTTAAAATGTCTATTAAAATTGTATACAAATTGCATGTACAGGGTTACAACCTATTTTTATTAGGTTACTTTTCAAAATTGGCGGGAAATATACACACTTGGTACAAAATTTGTTTGTGAAGGAAGACGCAGGCGCGAAGCTGGTAAAGAATTACGGACATTTGAAAAGCCGGCTGTCGCCTGTCAGCAGTTGCGTTGGTCTTACGAATGACGAAGTTTTTTCATAAGTGAGCGTTAAATTAATTAATAGTTGTATGTACTGTCAAAAATTCTGAATATAATAAAAAATATAAAAACGACATTAATCACTATGTTCTTTATGAAGTGATAAGTGAACATAGAAGTCTGTTCCAGTTTCAATAAAAAATACAGAGGTAAGTTTTTATTCTTTCAAGAAATATATATTTTGTTTTCCTAATAAATAAACTTTCAAATTTATATATTTATTGAGGATCATAGAGATATGCAAATGAAGAAATGATAGTATAGTATGCCTTTAATTTATTATAATTTTAAAAAGTACGATTGTAAGTATAGCGTTTAAAAAAATAAGTTGAACATGCACGAGTTCTTAAAAGAGGGGATTGTTAAGAAAACGAACCTTATTATATGTTAAAAAATCGAGTATATTTGATGTCTCTTGAGTTTCATAAATAAATTAGTCTGATTTGTAAAGAATTATAATAAACGATTGTTTTTACTGTAGCGCTAAACATTAAAATACTTGTTCAAATTGATATTTAACTTTTTTCATTAATTTAAATCAGCACTGAGTTATTTCATACCGTTTATAAATTATTTAATATTTACCAATCTTGAAAATCTTTTAACTTTCGTAGGCTCTGTCGTATCAAATAAATTAAATCAACATTTTTCGGTCGTGTAAGAAGTAGTCTTATTTATATTAATGCTATTGTTTCCAAAAAGTTACTTCAATATAGAAGTTCACATCTTTATTAAATTATATCCATTACTTTTTTCTTGATGGCAAAGCAAAATAATTAAAGAGTGTCGAGTGCTTAAAAAAATATAAGCGTATTTAAAATAGGAGGACGTAACGTGTAGCAGGGATTATATTTCATTATATTTTTTATCAGAATATATAAATACATATATATTTATATATGTGTGTGTGTTTTGTGTGTATGTGCTTCTGTGTGTGTTTGTTTGTAATGTCTTGAATTAAATTTCTTGTTATTTATTTCTTTCTAGCTTTATTGTATCTAATGAATTTAAATTACAATGAAAGTTTTTTAATTTCGTACGTAGAAAATGTTCCTCAACGTATTATTTTTAATCAGTCAAATGTAAATAAAGATTTGTTGATAGTAATCACTTTTGATATGACATATTTTTAAACTTGGTAACACTCATGCAATTTAAGAAGTATGAGGCCCAAAATTACTCGTATCCAGAGCGATAAAACATTTACAAAATAAATAAATCATAATAATTATGTAAATAAACATAAATAATAATATTTTAAAATAAACAATGTATTTTACTGTACACAATTATTGAAATGATTATCTGTCAATAGTGTATTGATGGGCTCTTATTTGGTAATTTCTTTGCTTGATCTCGGACATATACGTATGAATAGTTCAACGAAAAACAAAAAGAAAATAATGTTATAGATTTAATCATATACAGAAGTAAGGAAAAATTCTTTTGAATTTTCTATAAATTAACAAGTACATGTCAATTAACAGTAAAAAAAGAAGCATATATTTTTTTAATTAATAAAGATTCATTAGTATTGGTTCTTCGATTTCCTCGCAACAAGATCCAACGTAACTCTTAATTGGAAGAGTACATATTCATATAAATATAAAATAAACAAGACTTATAAGAAATGCAATTTATTTTTGCAAACTGTATCTGCTCCCGATAGTATTAATATATGAAAATAATATTTACAAATCTATTTTATAGATACAGAAAATATGTTTGTAATAAATTGTAACGTGTATAATATATGTGTATAATTACAATTAAGCCTCGCTTTACCAACAGGTGATTAAAGTGAAGCTTCCCTTCCTTTGTTAATTTGTATTCAGAACTATCATGTTTCTTTGACATATTAAGAGGACGACAATTATTTATACACATAATATATATATATTTTTTTTGTTATCGCGGTGAAAGGTTTTATACCTACCCCTCCGTCTAGGGGAGACAGAGGCGGTTATGTGGGATTCACGGCCAGAAGGGCCCATGTTACCCACTAAAACACCAGCGGTCACTCTCCGTTGCCGCCAAGTGGATCGCCACGGGAAACGCCGAAGCATGCATCCGCGACGATCCGGCGGCGGGCCGCGAACGGCCACCTCCCCCCCCCGAGGGCTCACTCCAAGTGACCAGGAGTGTCCCCCCGCCTGGCGGGCTTGCTTAATCGCGAGAGGGTTAACCCCTTACCCCTCCCACCCAAGCCCACGCGGCCAGTCTCCAACCACCCACAGACGAGCGCAAGCGCCCGACGGCAGACAGAGAGGAAACCGACCGACCACAAGCGAACTCAGGCCTCCGGAGAGACCCGAGTATCCCCTCCCCCCCAAGACAGCCACGGACGGCCTCCTGCCAGATCCGTGACCGTCTTACTCCCAGGGCTGTACCCCCAGCCCTCCCCCCCGTGACTGATTGCACCGGAATACACCAGTGGGCGATGGGGTCGTCACGTCCCGACGCCGGACTGCGCCGACAGTGGCCGAGGCCACCCGCCAACACGTAGGGCCGAACTTGGCAGCGGCGGTGTACACCGCCGAGCCTCGTCCTACCCACCTCCATGGGCTGCACCCCCAGCCCGGGCCAAGACCCCACGAGGAGGTCAAGGCCCTTCCCCCCCGTGACTAATTGCACCGGAATACACCGGTGGGCGATGGGGTCGTCACGTCCCGACGCCGGGACATAATATATATTAATTTATGTATATGTAATATTAAATTCAGTATTTTCTATTACAATACTAGCTTTTTCCCGAAACTTAGTCGGCGTTAGTTTCATAATTAGAAATCTGAAGCTATGTCTTTTCGGAGGCAGTAAATATGGAGATTTTGGATTAGATCAACTTATTTTCTTCTTTTTTAATTGTACAAAAGTATCCTAGCAACTTTTCCTTGTTCTACGCTATCTCCCTACAAATTTCCAGCCAAATCCGAATAGCCGTTCTTGAGTTACAAATAGTGTAACTAACACGACTTTCTTTTGTATATGCATATATCTATATGTATGTAGATTTAGAATTATTTTTTATTTGCACGTCACATTAAAGGAATCAATACAACCGGCGTGGGTATGCCGGTAAAGTCATATTCAAATATGCATGCCATTAAATATGGCATTAAATCTAAATATGCAAATGGTGACGTCATCAATTAATTTCGTAGGCGCGAACGGCATGTAATTAGCAGCTAACCATCAAGTTAGAAAGGGCTTGTAAACAAACTTAGACCGTTGTTTGTTCAACCTTATTAAAAACTTGTTTGTTTGAACCATTCTGTACTTTGAGTAATTGGCAATTACTTAGTTATTATTATACATATAATATTATGGAATAATTTAATAAACATTATTAATTTTTATTACAGATCTGATATTGGAAGTATGATATTATATATAGAGAAAGTTATGTTAAAATTCTGATTTATTTTTATTTATTTGCAGTGAAAAATAATTTCTATTTTTATTATGTAGTGGATTGGTTGATATCGATTTTCATCAAAGGGAATTCTGTAGTGTATACTCGAATTCATAGCAAAAGTTTTAGAACATTTTTTAAGCTCTGCGAACATAATATAAGCGTTATTTGTTTTTGCACGAAAGGTATTCATTGGACATATCTTTCATCCTAATTGCAACTGAAGTTTCGCAGACTGTTTTTACATTCAGTTGAATAAAAATTTCCAAATGATCCTCGAGATTTCGAAGTTCTGAAAATATTATGAATTCAAACAAAAACGAAGCTGCGGCTTAACGGTCGAAATAAAAGGGATAATGCAATTTCATGCGATTCATTGCACGGGATCAGGACTTGCAATTAAAAACTGTAATATGAGAGCATTTATCGCGGCTTTAAACAGTAAAACATATATCTGGTAGATGCATTAAAATATTTATTCTCAATTAAAATGTATGGAAATAATTAAAGGATAAATTAAGTTACGCTTAATTTAATAGCGATTATCCGAAAGTGATTTTATTCCATATATAGGTACCTAATTAAAAATAAAATCAAGCTTTTAACATAAAAGCGATTTTGAGCTAAGAATAGTATAAGAAAAAATTCCTCGTTTATATAAATTTGTACATCCTCTTTAAATTTTCCAAAGAAGTAGTGAGTATTAATTTATCTCTTATTCTGTTACATAAGACAAATGTTTGTTTCTTCAGAGTATACATACTTTCTTTATAAATCTTTTGTTTTTAACCTGTATGAAAAATAC